GTTTGGCAAGAGTACCCATGATCATATTCACGTGGCTCTAGCTTGCGTTCCAACAAGTTTGCACTACTCGTACCCACCCGGGATCTCCATACCCCATTATTCAGGGACGTAACACTTAAATTGTATTAAGGATCCTAGTATCAAGCAGCTTAGAGTCCTGAATAAATAAAGGGTGTTGGGCTCTCTGGGTGGAAGTAGCTGAACCCCTACTTTGGTGTGAAAGCTTTCAGGCTTCTACACGATCAGGTTGGCGGCAAGTCCGAGATCAATATGGTAAGGGTTTAGGGTTTAGAGATTTTTAGGGTATAGGGCTTAGGAATGTTTAGGGCTTAGGGTTCACAATTCCTGTTCCCAAAATGCCCTACACCCTAATCCGCTCGGAGTTTTTCCTTCTCGCCCTGAACCCTAATCGTTTTGGATTTTTCCCTACAGACCACAGGAGCCCTGAATAATTTCCACAAAAGATTTTGAGATCCAACACCATATGTGTTATAGTCTAAACTCCTAGTATGCTCCTTTAAGGTAAGGAGTTTAGACTATGGCATGGCTCATATGTGGGTATCCAGCTTTGAAAATACTAGGAGTGGGTACCCCAAGCTCTTGCACCGGAGCAGGTCAACGAACCTGGGATACAAGAAACATTGTGGCAGCTGGTATTTCCTTTGGGTTGTAGTTACAAGAATTGCAGAGGTTCATGTGCTACTTCCTGGAGCGCCATCGCATGACTTCCAAGAAGTGTTCAAACCCAAAAGCCAGTGCCACAGCTCACTCAGGAGCATGCTGCCTCGGAAGGGCCCCAACTTCTCAACCCGGCACTCAATCAGCATTGGCCTGTGTATCCGATGTCTCTCAACCTATAGACCGAGAACTATTTTACGTTTGCCCCTAAACCATGGAAGAGCTCTGGAAGACCTTATCGCATCCTTTTGCCTCTGGGCTTGCAGCCGTTCGGAAATCATAGGAGGTGTTTGGTTTTGAAGAATGCCAGAAACTTACACCCTAAACCAGGAAGGTCCCGAAACCCTCTATATGCGTGCAAACCCCTCTAAAGGAACCTAAGAATGTCCTCGTTTAAGAAACCTACTGCCCTAAATCCCGCAGCTTACACCTCGTTTCTCCTAGTAGCCCCCGTTTAAGGGACCTGGGGGCGAACCCATTTTGAGAAGCTATGACACCCTAAGCCCTACCCAGCCCCAAACCCCAGTTTTATTACTCCTAGTACTTTTTTACAGATTATGTCCAATACCTTACACATGCTTTTGCTAGTACCTGCCATATTACCATTACCATCACGATATTTCTGCTGCACATTCACAATACGATTGCTAATGATATTCGTAATATTTATACGACTCCTTTTTTGCAATAGGGTTATTGTGAACAGTATTCCTGTTGCTGCTACTACTCTCAGGGCTCTGCTGACCTCTAGTAATACCATGACCACTAATGCTTGGAGACTCTTACTCTTAATTCCGGTACTACATATTACTTTTCTCAGAGTTCTGCCGACCTGACCTTCACCAATCACTATTACTGCCACTAATTACTTTTTCTCATCACAGTACTAGCACACTTGCTGCTCATGTTTGTCCCTCAGTTCTTATCATTACTACTACAATTCATAGGGTTCTGCTGACCTCATGTTGAAAAAGCTGGCGCCTGGTGCCCGGAAGCTGGGTCCTTGGCTTCGGCGCGGTCTGCTGCGGGGCGTGGCCTCAGCAGAGGCCAGGTGCTTGGTAGCCTATGGGTGGGACCTGGGGTATATGGAGACATATGGAGGTAGGAGTTAGGTAGACTTATATAGGGTTTAGGGGTTTAGGGTTTAGGGGTTTGAGATTTAGGGTTTAGAGCATATTGTGTGGACTCCAGGTTAAACAAGGGCTTGGGGAACCCAACTGGACAGGGCTACGATAGGCCATATTCGGGTACTAGTAGAATGCAGTATATCATTAGTATATCATCTAAGTTCAGAGACCCTCGAAGTATGGCTGAGCTTGGGGGTGAGAACCCTAAACCCTACATGAGTTGCAGGGTTGGTCTGAGGGCTTCGGGCTGAATTTTAAGGATTGAGGGTAAGCTTTTTGTAGAAAGTACTGTAGCAGGTTTTCAAGCTTCAGGGTTTCAGTGCTGAAGCGCTTCAGAACGTTGGGAGGTTAGGGTTCAGGGTTAGTTTAGTCTCGGGTTTAATCCTTCTACCTTATCTCAAAAACAATGTTTTACCGGCTTTCAAGTGAGAACTACGCGGGGTGGGGGGTACATATGATGCGTGTTGGCGTAACTTTTGGATTTGGTTCGGTCCGCTTGAATTTGGTTTTTGGTTTACTTGATTGAGTTGGTCAGGGCTGTGGTATTGACCTGTGCTGCGGGTTTTCGTTAAAATAGACAAGAGTTCCATTCCCTCCCCGCAGACCGAAACGCTTTGGAAATCTGAAGCACAGGTTCAGAAGAAATGTCTGCGGCCAAAAGCAAGGGTTTTGGAAGGAAGGTATGCTAGTTTCTAGATTTTTACTGCTGCGAGTTGCAACTCTGTGGTTTCGGGGAGGCCTATGAAAAGCTGAGAATGCACCTCAAGATTCAGGAGGGGAGCAGGACTCAGGTAGCAGAGGTAGCGGATGCGATGGACTCTGCTAACTAGCGGCTCCATCTCTGAGGGTGACAAAGACTGCGACTGCTAACTTGCATCCTCAGGAAGCTCTTGTCTCCTAGCAGGGCTTGGGGTTTAGGGTTTAGGGTCAATTTTGCTCCCACGAAGGGACCCCTACAAACCCCATGGGAATCGAAATGCTGCATGAAGGCTCCGGAGGCCTTTGCCACAGAGTTTCCTTCACGGCCTTCCTCTTCACCGCGGGAAGACTGCTGGGTTGTTTTTAAACAGCCTTTTTAACACCTTTTGTGTTACTACAGGGCCAAAAAAAATAGGCTTCAGAATCATATTGGCTTCTATGTGGCCTCCTGTATTATCATTTAGCTCAGTACATTATCAAACAAACAAGTATATGAATGAACATGTTTCATATTAGCCAAGAACCCTAAACCCTAACTTTAAACGAACAATATATGAATGAACATATTCCATACTAGCCCAAAACCCAAAACCCTAAACCTTAAAACAACACAGTATACGAATCAACATGTTCCATACTAGCCCAAAAGCCTAATCCTTAAACCCTGAGCCCCTAAAACAGAAACCCAAACCAATAAACCCTAAACCCTAAACCCTTAACCCTAAACCCTAAACCCAAGGACTTGCTACAACAATGGATATCTCCGGGTGCCACTCTGTATGTGAGCCTGGTCCTGGTAGATAGGGATTTATAGGTTTAGGGTTTAGGGTTTAGGCTTATAGGTATTTAGGGATTTGGGGATTAAGGATTTAGGGCTTAGGGTGTAGGGTTATAGGGGCTTATAGGGATTTAGAGATTAGGGATTTAGGGTTTAGGGGGTAGGGTTATAGGGATTTATATATAGGGTTCAGCGCTCCCGGAAAGGGGATTTTCCATGGGACTTTCTGTACTAAGGATTATAGTAGAGTGGGGTCTACGCCAGGGCCCCCGTTGAATGAAAACTACAATATTGGAGTTTTCGCAGATGAAGATGTTGTTCTTTTGCATGGGGTCTCTGAGTACGGAATGCCTGCATTGAGGGCCCTTCTGCGGTCCCTTATGATTAGGAGCTGTTCTTCAGCTCATTGTCTCCCTTATATAAGTATATCTTCTTTGCAAAACAAGCAGGATTGATTTGTCGACCTGAGCAAGGGGCCATCATGCCCCTCATAGGTTGCTGTGCAAGAGAACAGAACGGCTTTGAATTCTCAACAGTGGACCCGCAATACGGCGCAGCATACGATTTGGAATGCAGGGTTTTTTGGAAACCTTTACGCCAGACAGGACTTTGCCCTGTGCATTATGGATGCAAGGCTTGCCTGCTGGCTACAGTACATCCTCCACGGATAGTGCATCCCAATCATCTCCAGTGTTCCCGGCAAATTGTGCAACCGCAAAGATACAAACCAACTACGCCACTGCGCCCCCCCCGCCCTCCAAAAATAATCCCACATAGTTTCGTGTTATATTACCTGTTTTTCGGCTGGCTTCTACTGGAGAGAGATGCATAATGGCACAATGTTTGTAGTCCACATCGGCTCTAGCATTCCGATAGCATGTGAGAGTTTCAACGCAGGGATACAGCGGGGATGAGAGTTTTGCAGCTAGGGGCCTCTAGCCCGATTACTGTCAGAGACCTTGATGCAAAAGGGGTACCGCGGGGACCCTAGGAAATCAAGGCAAGTTTTGTTTTGGGTCACACTCCCTAAGGGTCCAAGGACCCAAATAATAGGGTTTTAGGGCCCAAATACCACTAATAGTATAGTATTTGGGCCCTAAAGCCTCATTATTTGGGTCCTTGGACCCTTAGGGTCTTGGTGGAGTGAAGCTCAAAACCCGAAGCTGGAAAGGAATCTTTGGCATCTCTGAATCCCGCTGAGGAATCCTATCTGTTCTCAGATGGACCAGATGCTCTTGAAATGCGAGGAACACTCAATTGTTAAGGGCATTGCGAGCTTGCGGGTGGGGTGCAGGGTTTGGGACTGTCAGAGCGAAGTAATGCCATCCCGTTATTGCGGTGAGCATTTAGAAGGTAATGGGTAGTTCTCTGCTGTATGCTCAAAACAAGGTCCTCCTGGACTACATACAATATTTCAGTTTTCAGTGTAGGAACAGACAAACCTTATTACGAGCTTCAGACTTGTTGGAGCTGCTTCAGTGGGTCCACTGGCAAGCGAACTGCTCTCAAGCTAGTGCTGTTCAGTAGCAGCTTCTCATTGGAAACTCGCAGCAAGCAAGTTCCAGCTCACTTCGCCAGATAAGCAACATACAAGGCTTTTGCTGCCAGGCTACTACAGCTACAACAACAACTGCCATGGAAGAAGAAGAAGAACCACAACAACGACAACGACAACAACTGCTACTACTCACCCTAAATCGTAAGCTTGCTGCTTGCAGGAGATTGAGTCTGTTTTGGCCTTGCTGGTGACCCACCGCGGGGTGTTCTTTGTTCACAACCTCGTCACTGCCATCCAGGCAATCATCAGACATTGCAGTTCCTTTTCTTGGGCATAGAGTAGTTCTATGAGTAAAATCACACCATTGGAAATGGAGTGTATGGGTTCTGCTTCTCGAAATTAAAGCAAGTCTGTCTTGTAGGCAGCGCCTAATGACAAGTTCGTTTGGTTGAAATATTGAAATATTGGGGGATGACAGGGCAGGTAGTGGAGCAGCAATTGCATTTAAAGAAAGATTCATCACAGGTGGACTGCGAAGTTGAAAAGGTACTCGGCCAGGGACGAATGCCAGGGAGATTCCGGGTTTAGGGTTTAGGGTTTAACCCTAAACCCTAAACCCTAGCCACGGTAGTTGTTCGAAACTCCCATATCCTAACTCTGACGACGGCAGACATGCAGGGGCGAGGGGCTACGTAGAAAATTTGTTGCCTTTCCCTGACCATCATGGAAATCCTTATGGGGTGTCTATAAGCCATTAGCCCCACCTGGAGGTTCCTATGCAAACATTCAATGTCTATTCGGGGTAAAGAAGGGAGACCGCTGTTTTGGAACCTCGCATCATATCAGCCCCTGTAAGGAGCGTGCAACTTACAAAGCCCTACGAACATGTCACCCGCATATAATACAACCATTATAGCTCTCGATGGTAATCAGGCTCGGGCATGCTCCTAGCCTAGGATAGAGGCCAAGTTGACGCGCTGGCCGCAAAATATCCAGATAGAAGCAGGCTGGAGAAACGAAAGCCATTACAAAGGTGGCAGGGCTTCTACGCCTAGATTGTTCTGTAGTCCAGACAGAAATGATGTGAAAGAACAAGCCCATGCTAGTAGAACTTTCTTTTCACAACTTGTTTTCCGCTGCCAATAGCTTTCTCACTGCTATACAGCTTTGTTCCAAAGCCTGCCTTTAAACTAACCCTCTGTAATGGGCTTCTAGATGTGCTTTGGGCAGCTGGACAAGTTCTCTAATCTCTCAAGCCTCCAGCGCCCAACAGGTTTACAACAGGTCTAGGGCTGAAGGTTTAGGTTCCTGGTACTAAATGCTGTTTTGGTGTGCCTGGTTCATCAGGTCCTGGGGTCGCTGGCAGACGACATCAAGGACAGAAATGTGTTAGCTCTTCCTTGAAATGTCCTTGCATGATGCAGTAAACTTCAGACTGACAGGTGCTTCTATTGGGATTTTAGTGTTTAGGGTTTAGGGCTAGGGTTTGCAGACCTGCAACACCTAGGCCCCTTCTCTCGGACATACATGAGCTGCTAGCGCGTGGTTTTGCAGCAGCTAGATGAACTTAGTGAAGGACCAAAAGGGTTCTGCTGCAGGGCCGAGTTCATGATGTGTCCGCAAGAATTTCGCAAAGGACCAAACAAGTCTATCACACGCAGGGCCCATTTGGTGCCCAATTGGTGATGTGTCCGGAAGATATTGCTTTGTGTCGTCTTGATTGCGCAAGGAAAGCCAGAGCTGAAGAACTTTAGGCTTGACTCCATACCATGAATATCTGTCTTCATTCCTGATGCCACTTTCTGGAGAAGAGGCATAGGCCCCCAGACTCGATTTTTCCCACCTAAACCTGAACCTTTAACCCTAAACACTAAACCTTTAAACACTAAATCCTAACCTCTAAACCCTTACTATAGCCTAAACTTTAAACCCTAAAACCTAAACCGTTGAAGCCTAAACCGTTGAACCCTCAATCCTAACCTTTAAACAAAAAACCTGTAGAACCTAAACTCTGAACCTTCAAACCCCAAACCATTCAATCCAAGACCCTGAATCCTCAACCTTTGAACCGTAGAACCTAGAACCCAACCTTCAAACCTCAGACCCTAAACCTTGAAACTCTAGAACCTAACCTCTAAACCCTAAACCCTACAATCCTTGAAACCCTGGAACCTAAATCTTTAAATCCTAAACCCTATAATCATTTCAGCCCTGAAACCTAACCCCAACAGGGATTCCTGCAGGAACATAATCCCTTGAAAGCCCCTATATAACCCCTGTATAACCCATTATAACCCTAAACCCTAAACCCCAAAACCTAAACCCTAAACCCGGTTTCCATTTGCTTTTCCATTATTCCTATACTGCAGGATCCCATGCAGGTAAATCGACTTCTCCGGGATCCCAGGCCTTGACATGCTTTCTTTCAGGGTTTAGAGGTTTAGGGTTTAGGGTTTAGGATTTAGGGGTTTAGGGTGTAGGGTTTAGGGTTTAGGGGTTATATTGGGGTGATATAGGGACAATGGAAAAGCAAATGGAAACTACTATTTAGGGTTCTGGGGGTTTAGGGTTTAGGGTTGAGGGTTTTAAGCCCTAATGGGGTTTGGGGTTTAGGGTCTAGGATGTAATGAGGGCTTAGGGTCTAGGATGTAATGAGGGCTTAGGGTCTAGGATGTAATTCGGGTTTAGGGTGTAAGATGTAGGGTTAAGGGTTTAGGCTCTTGGAGCTACTAGGATTCAGGTTTCAAGGTTGCTGGGTTTGGTAGTTTGGGTTTCTGATTTCGTTGGGAGGTGGGTGACAGTTGCGTGGGATGCCTTGGGTTTAGGATTTATGACTAACCTTTTCAGGGTGAAGCCTGCAAGTAGTGTACTTTAAGGTACGTTCTTGATGTCAGGAGTGGTGCCGTTGAGCATCGGGATGAACAAAACCCTAAACCCTAAACCCTAAGACTCATGGCTGAAACTAAAGCCATGGGGCGACCATACTTGAAGGTCTGACGTCCGAAGCTTGTTTCATCCCCTCATCCGGAAACCTGACGTGCCAAACGCAACCCTACAAAGCCCACATCGTAAGTCCTGAAGCTTCCATCCCAGCTTTCTTCGGGTTGGAGCATACACTTCCGTTTACAGAGGGGCTCGGACCGTAAGCGCTCCCTATTAGTGGTCCATGAATCCCTTCCTCCCTAATACGGGAATGAGACACGCCTCCCCTCAACGCACTAACATGTTGAGGGAGGGACTGAAGGTATGATGTCCTTTTGCGCGACCTGTTTCGCTTCGTGCCAAAGCTGGATTTCCTGGCGATGACGAATGTAGCCTGCAGTCTCCAGCAGCTGGACCACAAGTGCGCCCGAGGGCTGCGCGGGAGATGTATACGGCCCATTACTTTCGTTGGCGTAAGATTGAGTGACATTTGGGAGTTTCGGTTAATACTCGAATAGGGGGACCCCAATCTAGACTTATGATATACTGTACTGCTTAATATGCAGTCTGCCCAATACGGGCCCAGTATCTTCCAGCCACCGCTTCTGCATCTCGTGAGGATAGACATTGTGGCATTCTGGGCTTCACATGCTGAATCGGCTTTTCATTTAGCTTTCCATGGATCATGCTGGGGGGGGTTCGCTGAGCCGGTAGCCCAGAGGCTCCTATGTAGTTCCATTTTGTGGTAGCTTATGACATCCGTATCAAAATCCATAGCAAAGGGGAGCTACTTAGGAGCCTTTCAGAAGACATGAATGCAGCCTGTAGGGTGTTTGGATGAATGCCTGCAAAAGTCAATAGTTTGGTACGGACTCCACTCTGTAACAGTTGGATAATATTATTACTATAGAACAGCCCTTAATATGACCCCTACTGTAGACGGTTACCGGGTGGGGGCAGTGCCCAAACTATAGTAGGTCTTTCAGGTTGGACGATTGACTCAGCAGCTTTAAAGCGGCTCCCAAAATCCGCTAAAGCGCGGGCTAGGCCCTACAGATCCTAAGCTCTGTAGTCCAAGCTCTGACACCTTAACTAGTCTGGCTCGGATGTAATCTTTTTAGAATGACAGCTGCCACATGACTCAAGCAAGGTCCTTCCCTCTACCCTCGCAACCCACGGAGGAAACATGAGCTCCCAAGCTGGCACACGTGGGGGTTTAACAATATGTGCGAAGGTGTCATGATGGTACTTGTGTTGTAGAGCCTGTTTGTAGAAGTCATTAGTTCTGCTAGAGTTTCGCGTGGCAATGAGTCAGTGTCCTGTGTAATTGCTCGCTGAGCCACATTATGATTTGAGCCTTTGATGCTGCGCAGCTCCAAGAAATGCCACGGCCACCGTCCACGTATCCATTCCACTTGGCTACCTGACATGGCAGCCTGAGGCCTCAAGCATAGAAAAAGCTTACGCACTTAGGTTTCAAACTCAAAGCCGAAAGCTGGAATGTGGAAATTAGATGGTTCGTGCTACATTTCCCTCTTTCTACGTCTTGGGCTTCGGGGAAGTTCATGTAGTGTTCCAAATTTCTGGCTTCTACTTCACATGACCTTGGTCTCAGCACGTCCATGCCAACATGTGGCCATGCACAAGACCTGCACTCCATGCCGGTCTGTCGCTCCAGCCCCTGCCTTTGCGCTGCCGTGGACCGAAGCTAACTGAAAAGGACCTGGCGGGTGTGTCTGCGCGCGCCGGCGTGGGTGCGAGTGTGCTATGCTTCCTGGGCCAGAAGGCCATGCCTTGGTGGAAAGTGAAGAGGGCCAGCCTTGAGAACTCGTCCATGGTGGGTATTGCAGAAATGGCACAAGATGGACGTGGTCGGAGGCTTGTGGCGGCCCAAGACATCCTGAAAGGTACGGAGATTTTCATGGAGAGCCCTGTGCTGTGGGTGGCTCAAGAAGCTGGAATGGAAGAAGTTGCGGCGCAGCTGCAAGATCTGACTCCAGCAGTTCAGGATAGCTTGCTGCAGCTTTGTCAGTCCTCCAGCTTACCCCCGGAGGAGTTGGCCATCATAGAAGAGCTTGCAAGTGGCAACGATCAGCTGTTTGCGTTGTTGCGTGTCTACTTGATCAACAGCATAGGGACACCAGATGGGGGAAGCGCCATCTACCTCAAGGCAAGCCGGGCACCTGGGACTTGAAGCAAGTTCTTTCATTCAGATGGATTCTATTATTAAGGCCTCCATGTTGAACAAGATGCCCTCCCCTTGAGTATCCCTTGCTGCTGACGTGGAAGTAATAATGTGATGGCAAGACTGCATCTGGAGTTAAATGAATCCGTCCCCCTACTCTTCACCACTTCATTAGTTTGTTTTATTCCCCATGGTGCCCCAAACATGTGATTCAAACATGATGTGGGTCATTTTCAAAAAGCTTGATGCCCTCAGCTGTAAACCCAGACCCTAAAATGAGGAAGCGGACTAGCCTCCGAGGGTGAGAACCCAGAGTGCTCCTCTGGTTGAATCACAACTTCGGGATGATGAAGACAGACGCCCCGTTAGGGCTTAGTGTTTCGCTCTTTACTGTGGCTATGGCTCGAGGAGGGCCGTACTTGCGACTTTTCCTGTCATACTCTTATGTCGGACCCTAACTTCTAAACCGCAAAATCCAGCGCCCTCAAATTCGATAACATGCACTAAACCCCGAGGCCCTAAACCCTCTGATCAGGCAAATCACAGCTGCCGGCCCAACGCAGCCTTCCAGTTTGACAAGGAGAGGCAGCTGCGACTGGTCACCCTGAGGCTTGAGGTTCATTGGGTTTAAGGATTCAAGGGTTTAGGGTTTAGGGTTATAGGGTTTAGGGATTTAGGGTTTAGGGTTTAGGGTCTAGAGATTTAGGGTTTGGGGTTTAGGGATTTAGGGATCTGGGTAGGCCCCTGGGATATTTAATATCTTCCCTAATGGCTTTAATAGGGGACCCTATATACTAATATGTTTCAATGGGTTTTAGGGGCCAATCTAGAGCATCTATTGGTGCCTCTGAAAGGGGTTGTTTCTGGTTGCCGGCAGTTCTCAAGCCTGTTGCTCAAAAGGGTTTACTTGTGGCCCCTTTCAAAGAGGAAACAGGCGCCACAGAGGTTTGTTGGGTTTAGGATTGTGCCAGGCCCCGACCAACAACAGGATCATGTGGGGACCCTAAGAAACTGCCATGATCCCTTGTAGCTACTAATCGTGGGCAGAGGCCACCTGATTATTCATGGAGGCTCTCACATAATAGGAGGCATGATGAGTGGCAAGGGCTAACGGATGGGATTGTATGAAATGTGGAGTTGCCTCAAATCCAGCAGTTCTGAGTCCAGAGTAGAGCCACGGGATGTGAAGCGTCGTGGCAGCAACATCTTCAGTCTTCCCTCTACTGTAGAAAGCAACATCTTGGGGAGGGTAGCTCGCGCGCACCCTGAACTGCGGGAGGCTGCAGTTTTAGGATTTTGGAGACCAGTGAAGCAGGGACGCACGGAGCTTAAATCGCGTCCATGTCTCAAAATCTGGAAGGCTTAAGTGAGTCCTTCCTTGAATCTTCAATATCCCCATCCGTCCTAATTATAGTAGCTCAAATGTTTGGATGGGGCTTTTCAACATTTTTGGGGAAAGTGGTTAGTCATCCTAAGCCCTATAAAGCCTTAGGAGTAGTTTGAGCCGCGAGGCCTGTGCCCTCTGGCGAGGAGGTCCTGGTTTCGTACCTGCCAGAAGGGTCCCTCTTCAGGCCAGTGTCCGCCAAACTCAGAAGACGACCTGAAGTAGGACTCATTTATCGGTTCTTGGTGAGGGTATATATGGTTCCTTAAGCATATTGGAGGGTGTGCATATTGGGTGTCCAGTTTGGGAAAGCCACATGGACATTCAATTTTTGGGTAGGTAAAAGCTTCGCTTGAGAGGGAGTTCTTGCAAGAGACAAGCAGAGTCTTCACCACCTGTTTTTGTTGCGGTATCTAATTTTAGATGGTCTTGGTGGCTGCTGCCTTCCCCCTACGAGGCCACAAAGTGCGCGGCAAAGGCAGCTGCAACTGGATGGCAGTTACGTAGAGGATTCCAATTTATGTACACGTATGTTCGGGTATATGGGACGCCCTGGAGTGATGGTAATTCAGCGTAAGCTTTTCTGAGGTTCAAGTATTTACTAGTCATTTACTCTCTCTCGAAACCTATACCACAACCCTAAAACCTGAGCCCTAAACCCGATGATCGAAATCCTAAACCCTAAATCCTAAACCCCAATCCTTAATCCCAAGCCCAATATTCTTTGGGTACATTTGGCCTTAGGGATCTTTGACACACCCAGGCAAAAGTGGGGTTTCCGTTGCCGGTGCTGCCGCTGCCAGACGCCGGATGATGTCCGACCCTTTGTCGAAGAAGCTGTTTAGGTTTAGGGCTCAGGAATAGTAGCCCCCTCCTCCCCGCTAATAAAAGATATGTCCCCAGTATGTAATCGTACAGTTGAGAATTGATGACTAGGGGGTGGGAGTCATTTTCAGGGGAAGGGAGTAAAAGTAACATCACGGTATGATGCGGAAATCAATATGAATTAGCCGCTCCCTCTAAGATTGAAACGCCCCACCCTGTAGTAAGGGTAATTGTTCCCAATGCAGTACCAGAATAGAATTGACAAAGTCTATTTGGTCATCGTCATTGTTGTTTTCATTGGGGAGCTGGGGGTTGCTGGGGTTTTGATGCTCATGGGAAAGGAATCAAGAGTTATCAGTAAGGCACGGGGCTTCACAGGAGCATCGTTCAAATTGTTGACGGCTGTGAATGATGTCCGGACGTTGCAGTTGCTTCGGGTGATAGTGGTAACTGCCAAATTATTCGTAGTCCGGTTAACAGAATAGAGCGCATGAAGGTTCTACCAGACAGAAGGAAGAGACTTGTGACGGGGATCCTTGTGTTATCAGCAAGCGCTTGGTGAAACCGTTTGCACGCCCCCAGACTGACATGGAAGCTGCAAGCTGGCCCTACAAGACCGTGTGAGGTCCCATGTTTGTTTAGGGGAGGGTACGCAAGTTCGGAGTTCAGCAGACAGGAACCTTCGTGTGTGGAAGCTGCGGTCGGGATGCCATCCGGCCGGAGAAGTCTGACGAGGAGCTCATACTCGCGACTCAAGTAGTTAGTCGGATGCGTGGCGCTAATGGATTATTCCAGCGGTGCCTTAGCAAATCAGTTTGGTTATCTGCGCAGCAGTGAGTCACATGTGCTTTCAAATCCTTTCACAGGGCATGGCCGGATTCCTTGAGTTGGAGACATGCCAAATGCCACAGGCCTGAAAGAGTTTCCTCCGGGATCCTTCGCAGGCAGTGGTAGAGTTTGAGCGAAATCTTGAGGTGGGGACAATGAAGAAATATGGAGAAGCATTACGGGATGCAAGCTCCCTCAGCACTCCGAGTCCGTAGTAATAGCAAGAAGTTCTAGCAAATTTGCCTACGATCGTCATTTAACTATTCTGGGACCTGGTGTAACACAGGTAATTACTTCTCACTGACTAATTACAAGCCTGAAGGCGAGCTTCCTGCATCATCTCCTTAGTAGCCTCCAGATCTTGGAAACTGCGGGCACGCGATAGCGGTCCCGCAATATCGGCGATCTGTCAGAATAATTAGGCTTAATGAGAGTCCTATACGCGATTGTCATACTGACAAGTATCCAAAGTCAACCCAGTGGCTAGGCTCACAGGGAGATGTGCCCGAAGATGCTTACTGGGATTGGGCCATGCCTGCTATGTTGCACATGTGCAAAAAACACCCTAAACCCTTTCCCTCCCACACCTGAAACCCCTCGAGAGGAGGGGCTCTGGTGCCGCTGTGGCGGCTGCGGCGCCATGCCACCGGATGCCAAGGAGCTCATCGAAGCGGAAGGGTGCTGGCGAAAGCAGCTGCGGAGGCCCAGGGGCTTGGGTTTCAAAAGGATTGCTCAGTGTTTGTGCGGCTTTGTGCAGCAGTGTCGGCGAGGAGGAGGAGGAGGAGGAGCTACAACTACGACTACTACCACCACTACAGTAGTAGTAGTAGTAGTAGTAGTGGTAGCAAAAAGAAGAAGAACAATAGTAATTACAACATCGAGAGTATACATTAAGAATACCGATCAAAATACGTGCCACCGCCGCCGCTGCTGCTGAAGCTGCTGCTGCACCATGAATATTCTGTCTGTTGTTGTATATACATGGGGGTTGCCGTAAACTGGGGGACCCTTTTTGGGGGTACCTAGAATTAGGATTCTAATATTTTAGGGCCTATATTGGGGTCCCCCTATTTATGGAAACTACCACATGTTTTGTCGTAGGGGGGTGGGTGGGGGTGGGTGGTGGTCATGCGTCGCTCAAAAGTGCGATCGACAATTACATGGATGGATGATTTTGATGACTGCCAGGGGTTGATAAGCAATGCCCTCGCAAACCTGAGGTCCACTTGCCCTCAAACAACCCCTGCTGCCGGATGAGGTTCCAAAGTGAGCCTTCTGGTCAAGGTATCCTGCAAAGCTTCAGGAGCCAGTTCGAAATCGATCACAGAGCGGGATGACGGCAGTTTGAGGTGTATCTTTGCAGTAGCTGGCAAGTTTGGCGATCGGGGGTCAGGCTTAGTGCCTAGTAACTATGCCCCCGGCTAAAAGCTCTCCACACAAGGTAGAGTCCCCGCAGAACGAACATCGATATAGAGATTTCAGTACCTTCGAAAGAGCGACATTATATGGAGTTCGGGGTTTGATCACCAAGAGCCTCCTAGTAGAAACGCGTCACCCACCTCCCTCTGAAAGGTCTCCAAACCCACACGCCAAGGTAAGAGGTAGGTTCTATGCAGGGTGCCGCCACATAGCCGGATGATGTTCAGAAGGCCACGCATGACTCCAAGTGCAGGATTTCACGGCATTCCGCATTTCTTTCACTGAAAGATCCGTATACAGCGCGGAAACAAGCACGGGATTGTTGACTTGTAGGGGTGGAGCTATTTGCTCATGGTGTTTGCATCATACGTTGCGAGGACCTTGCAGCATCACAACGGGCAAACGCCAGTGCCCAGCCTAGAAGGCCGGCAGGTTTCCTTACCTCTATAAAAGTAGGGAATGACAGAACGAAAACAAAATATTAGCGGTTATACAGGGACTACCAAAAGATCCCATCCCTCATCTTGGCCAACCAGAGGTAAGTTAAAGAAACATAATCGACATAATCCTCCATACTCAGTCATACTAATTGCAAACCCTCCGGCACCCCTAGTGTTAAACATGTCCAGCCAATATATACATATATATATATACACATACATATATACCCCCCTATAGAAATATATATATATTTATATTTATATTTATGGTCCTTCATGAGGAAAAGTTGATTGTACCGGCGGGTAGGGTGTGTGTGTGTGTCGAACATTCGTATGAGAGGATCATTCAGATCATGAGGGTCATCAGGAAATGGGGAAGGAAAGGAGATTCAGGAAACACATGTGTTTTCGTTTGACATATACTTCCATGTGAGTCCAATCAAAACAAGTCATACACCTTTCAATTGCCGGTATGTTGCTTTTTTTGATGGCACCCTGAGTTGGTAGACCATGTAGGTGTGCACCAAGTGGGGACCAGCGGCTAAGCTTTTGCTCAATTTGGTTTGCCTTTCGTCTGTCCGAAGAAGCAATCCATCGACTTCATGCTTGGCAATGGCATACTTTGGCATGCCTGCTTACCGCAGTGATTGTTTGTTCCTCCAGCTCCGGCACAGCCATGTCAAGAGGTCCTAGAATGACAATGCGGTTTTTTGGAGTTTCAACAAGGCAGTCCGTATTTCCTGTTCTTTTGGCATAGTAGACCACCTGGCGTTTTAGATGCGCCTTAAGTTATTCCCTCCCAAGTTACAACATACGACGATAGGTTTTAGGATGTATAGTGGACTCTCAACTTAGAAAATATTTGTTTAGGGCAGTTACTGTAATAGCTGGCTGGTAAGGAACTTAACTTGAATTACCACATTATCGCGTATATAGTAAATGACGTTTGCTTATCATAGTAACTTACTTCAAGTTCCTTAACAGCAACCCACTGTAAGGGGGAACGACCCCACCTCTTAGCAACCCTCATGTTGCAGCTTGACCTCCACTACTTTACGCAATGGTCCATGTTTTCCTGTCGTGTATATTTTCAGGAGTTATATAAGGAGGGCGAAGGGTTGTAATCCATCTCGCGTGGACTGGAAGGGCACTGGATTGCCGCGGCCATCGCCAAACTTGCGGCCGAGGAGGGGTCTGGAAGAACAGGTAATAGAGCAATCTGAACGATTACATTTCTTTCCCAGAAGCCTTGTTCTAGTTTTGCTTGGGTCAGAATACTGTTGATGGGACAAAATCCTGTATGTGCCTATACCTAATTGCGTAGGAATTGTTGGAGCAGGAAGTACAGCCGTACAGTATGTACATTCCTTATTGTAGGGCTTTGTCTTTCTGAAGCTTTCCTGATAACGTTTGACCTTGCATGTGTTAGATCTTGATGGACCAAGTGGCACCATGGTGAGGGGAAGATTGCACTGTCTGAAAGGGGAAGGGCTAAAAACATCGGAGGCGGCATTTCCATTTTGGATTTTGCACTTGCCGGGCCGTTTGTTCGATGCTGGTTTCCATCCTTTCGAAATCCGTTTGGTAGACTAAGATGCCCCCTGCCCTGCGGGCACTGCTTCCAGGAAAAGGTTCTACACAGCCTTATGGTGGGTTGGGTTGATTTTCACCGGATGAAGCGTGGGCTGCGGATTCAGGCATTTGGCTACGCACCTCACTTCAGCAGCTGACGTATATCATACCGTATACAGCTCATGTCTGTGGGCAATCCTGTTGAGCGACAATCCCATTATTTTGATGGAGTCGCAAGCTGCTAAGGGGATGTATGGGGGCTTTTCTTTGGCGAAGGCACGGTACAATCCCTTTCAGAAGCCTTGACAATCTGTGCAAAATCCTGGCCTGGCTTGCTTTGGACCCTGTGACAGGTGCTACCAGGCCAGGGTCATGTCGAAGAAGCGGAGACAGCTGCGCAAGCCAGCTGGCGATTTGCAAGGCGTGCGTCAGGATTGTCTCAGATCCCGGATAGTACGAGCAATGTCGGAATCTCTCAAGAAGGCTTAGTATTCAGACAAATCCCAATATGGACCTCCCTATAAGTTAGCCAGGATCCCCCCTAGAACAGTTTATTCTGACAAGCCCTTCCGTGTCCATTTTTATCTGCAGGTGGTTGTCGTTGTGCTTCGCAAGAAGGCTTAAAACGCCGGCCCTTGCCCTTCATCTCTCAGCGGAAGCCCAGCACCATCACCCCTGGCTTATGCAAGAGTAGTACATAGTTACGTAGGGATATCCCAAAGGGCAAAAGGGGCAAACTTCCTCAGTAGATATGGAGTGCG